CAATTAAAACACAATTTCAAATCTTTAGAACAGCCATTTTCTTTTATTTTTAACAATAACAATGGCAAAGAAAAAACTGGTAACCATGGTAACGCTTTGCGACTGCGCAGAGAATCTCACAGACGATGTGCTAGCGCATCACAACTATAAATACAAAAATTTTAAACAGTCCTTAGGTTCAAAGCCAGGCGTGTGGGCGGACTGCATGTTTGGTTTTCATGGTTTTATCCGTGTATAACGTGAATGCCACTTATAGTTTCTATTAGAAAGCTCTCCTCGAACTACAGATAGCCCTCGTGTGCTTTGCGATATTCAACTAACCAAACTTCATCCCTTGGTTGCTGTAAAATTGAAATACAAATTGGTTGCTGGTTGCAAAAATTATTTAATTTATTCATGGAATAGAGTCTAGGTTTTTTTTTTTTTTTTTTTTTTTTTTTTTTTTTTTTAAGTCATCGTATCTCTAAATGCAGCTCCAACAATTTCCCGTTTTATAACATGACGCTCGGCTTCGTTTCAGTGTCTTACAATAATGTAAATAGATATTTTCAGAATTATTTCTGGGCGGGGGGTGAAGTTTTCCAAAGGAAGATTTTAGCGGAGAGCAAGTTTTCTTGGCAGGTGATTTGACTATGATATTAGCAATGGCCATCCATGAAGTTTCTGCATCCTTATTAACTTTATGAATGACATTTTGAGAAAAGAACTTTATAGAGCTTTTATTACTTTTTAAACTACAGGGAATTAAGGATACTTTTCTGTACCCATATTATCTTTATGGATGATATTTTAAAATATTGCAATGTTATTAATTTAGTTTATGAGTAGCAATATAATTTACTTCATTTATTAATTCATATTCAGCATGTAGGGATTTATATTTATTTTAACTAATAATTCAAATTTTAGTTCAGACTTTCCTATAAGCCTTCATTCTAACTGTCAGTGCCAGAATACCTAAATTTGGTAGCGCACGAGACGTGAATGCAAATTCTACTTTGTTTTGTGAGGAGAAAAAGTTTAAATACCGAGATTTTAGAAGGGAAGAGATAGAGTTGGGCTCTAGCTGCCCTTTTTGCCGTATGTCTGATTGCTGGTTCAAGTGGCTTAAATGCATCTATCTGCTGCCACTAGTTATAGAGGGGTCGAAGTCGGCATCTCGCTGAACCCTGTAGGTTAGTAGCACTTGTTAAACATTTCAACTTTTGATTTTCAGTTACCTGCTTTTCAGTTACCGTCCAAGTAGAGGCGAAGTTTGTTACTGTCAAGTTGACGCAGTGTAAATTTTAAAGAGTTAATAAAGGGTTTGAACCTTTCTTCTGTGTAGTTTCCTGCTACTCTTGTATCCAGACAGAGGTTAAACACCCTGGACGCTACATGCATATGGCATATGTGTTTCAGTAAGATTTAATCAACCGACAATCAATTTGAATCTACGCCATAGGAGATCTTCGGCTCTGCTACTCTTGAAATGCTAAAAATAATGAAAAGCACAAGGCAAAAGAAAAAAAAATGTGTGTATTAACTTGTATAGCCATACGGAGTTATGCAAATCCTTTGTGAAACAGCACACACAGAAACTCCAGACACATTGTAATTTCAAGATAAGTTGTATGTTTAAGAAACTTTTCAGGAAAGAACTCTTTGGTTACTTTTCACGTGTCGTAATACACGTAACTCAGGTCAATAGCTATTGAACTTTTGCATTTAAGTTTAGTAGCTGTCTAAAACTACGTAGACACAGAAATAACCAATTACCATATTCCGCATATATTTTTACATACAGAGTTCCTTGTGTGCTATAGATATTAAAGATAACTTTTCCAGCTTCCATATTTAAGTGCATACACCCTTGCTATGTAACATTATACACTCTGACGCCAAAAAAATATATGTATCCAGAAGGAAACGAGCCATAATCACAAAATTCTACAGAATGCAGACTGGTAAGAAGTATGCAAAATTTCGACGAAACACGTGTTTTAATTCCGATGCCAATGAAACAAGGGTAAGCGCCTTATGCGCATACGAGATGCGCATCTGGGAGAGTTTAAAAGCATAACTGCTCGTGCCAAACGAATCTGTCGACTTGGATGGACGGTATTGTAACTAGAGAGGCTTCAAAGAAGTAGCCGACGGCAGTATGAATAGTTTTCAGACTCTGAGAAGGGCGTATAGTAGACATTAGAGAAGCAGGTTGGTCGAACAGGCGTATCGGGCCGCCACCTCGGTCGGAACGATACGATAGTTCCTTGGTATTGGCGACAATGAATCACTGAAAGGATAGTCTACATTCACGAAGGGTCAGGGTTGTCCCAGAAACAAAAATGAGGGCGAGGATCGAGCAAGCATAAGAGCGGCCACTTTCACACCAACAACGTCGTTAGCATCGATTCGACGCCATTTACCACCTTCCAAACATCCAGTGGTATCCAGAGAAACCATTCGGAGACGACTGGCCGAGCGTGGTATATGCCGCCGACGTCCATTAAGACGCCTTACACTGACCCGACATTATAGGCAGCGTCGATTGGATTTTTGCCGCACTCGGGCAAGCTGGAGTGTGACCTACTGGAGGCGTGTGATCTTCAGCGATGAATCTTGAATTAATCTCAGTGCTGATAACCAACGTACACGCGTATGGAGGTGGCCATGCCAGCGGTCCGATCCGGCATTTCTTGTCGAGGGGCATAGGCGATTACAAAGGTGTGACAGTATGGGGAGAGATTTGTTGCGACACACGATCGCCTCTAGTCGTCCTTCAAAACACTACAGTACTCGAAGTATGTGGACGACATTTTAACGCCGGTTATACTGCTTATGCTATCAATTCTCCCAGATTCCATTTATCAGCAAGATAACGCTCGTCCGCATACTGCACTTTCTCCAAACAATGTCTTCAAGGACTTCCATGATCTGCCACGTCAACAGACCACTCGCTCGCCAAAACAGCATATTTGGGACATGCTTGGAAAGCAACTGCAGCAGTCCTGAAATACTGCTGAATTGAAAAGCTTCATTGCATGATCTTCCGCAGGGGCTCATAGGTGACCTACTTGATTTGATGCTACGTCGTGTTTTGGCTTGTATAGCTACCAGAGGTGGCCATATTACTTACTGATTTGCAACATTTCCCATGCCATAACTTCTTAATAAAACGATCTTTTGTTCTGAATTTGTAATCATTTGTTAATCTCCTCATACATTGCATACATATTAAGTTTCATGATAATTGTTCGTTTCCTTCTGGGTGCATATATTTTTTGTGATAGAGTATATAGGTGATCGAAATTAATCCAGTTAATCATAGAAAAGTATTGGTTAATTTATTGTAATATTGTTGCTTGCGTACGGGTTCGTAATAGATTGAATGCACAAGTCCGATAAAAAGTTAATAAAAATTTATTCTTATCACAAGAAATATAACAAAACGCTTGATATTTCCTCAAGGATATTCGTACAATATCACACAGTAGTTATATTTTAAACTGCTAAAACGTTAAATATAATGCAATCCAAAGCTCAGAGAAAGCTAATCCGATCTCACCGCGAATTCGCTACAATCAACAACAACTAACTAAACAACTGAACTGAGATGTTTTCTCCTGCTTTTTAAAGCTTTTTAATCGAGCACGGTAATTTCCGTTTTCTCGAGATTTCTGGAAAGCAAAAGAGTAGATTTGCTGTCACAGCTAATACAGAAGTCAATTACATTTATTCAGTTTAAATATAAATTACGAGATATCTATTTATTAAATGCGCGTGCTCCTGAATTTTTACTTTTTTTGAGTAGCTTTTTCTTAAAACTAGTCACACGCTGCATTGCACGGGGAAATAAAATAATTTTAATTACAATTCTACTAAAAATACCTAACTAAATACAAAATCCTTAACAATATTTACACATTTTAAGCGGCTTTTCCAAATACTCGTATATATGTCAAGTGTTTGTTCATTTCGTCAAACTATCCTAATTACCTACCTCAATGGAAAATCCTACTATTTTTGGCCTTATTGTAAATCTATGCGCATCTGTTTGTTTGTTCGTAACATTATCTCCTCCAGAATGACGGGGAGGTGAAATTTGAGAGAATATCCCCGGATTCCAAAAATGCGTGGGAAGCTATTTCAACCATTCTTATCTTCATGCGACTTTAACCAGCCGAGATATTAATTAAAATATCTGAAAACACTAATTTTCAAATCCATTTTTCCGAATGGCAACAGTGGCGCACGCTGGACATAAAAATGCTTTATTTGAAAAAGTGTTGCCAGTGCTCGCTTTCAAATCATAGAGTTTGTTAATCAAAAATTTTTAATTTTTACAAACTATGAAATAAAATTAGCATTGCCAAATATTAAACATATTATTATTATATACGCTCATATTCGGACGTTGAAGAATGTACGTTTTTGCATTTGACGTCACTGCATATCGAAAATTTTCGTTTATGTCAGCATTTTAAATAAATAAGTGCTGTTTGCAACTTTTTTGTTTCGGGTTAGGAATGTTTGATACGATATGTTATTGCCGCATTAATTCTTTTATTAATATTGAAAAAAAGCTGTCATATTACTTTAAATTTAAATCGTAATATATTACGTATTAACCTGAAGTGTCAAAAGTTTTTGTTTCCCGGTTTAGCAAGAAAAAATATTTGGGAGTTGGTTGTTGCTTGGAAAGAAAGAACTGAGTTTATTCATATTGAAATGTTTTTATGTATTTCATTTTCATGTGTAACGTAGAACTTATAAATTTTGTTTTGGCTGCAACCCGCTCATCTGGCGGGCTTGAAAATAATATTTGTAGAATTTTCCATTCAATTCAAAATAAATAATGTTTGTTTACGATTCGGGTGTTCGCGCCAAAGCCTTTCGGATGAGATCCAATAATCAGAAAATACCTTATAGATAACGTATGTAAACAGCATTTCTTTTATATTATGATTACATAGTTAGATGCAAGTTTTAACCCACAGCATACACACAAAAAATTACTATTTCAGATTGAAATAAATTTATTTAGAGCTATAAAATTTATTTATTTTAATTGATTAAAAAATATTTCATCGTGCACTTATCCTTTTCAGAACAATTATACAATGATTCAGTTAATTTTCACTTTCACGTCAGTTTTCAATACCACATCATTTTTCTTTAAATCCCCCTTCTTAAATTAAATTTTATGGTATTTATCAGAATTCCTTGGGTATGTCCCGACCATCAGTATTTTAGTTTAATTTTTACCTTTTGATTCATTTTTCATTTTAGAGTCAGTCTTTGCTGCAACTTTCTTTCCTTTTTTTGCCTGTTGAGATCGTGGTCGTTGAGATGCACGTTGAGCACTTTTTGAGCTTCTTCCCCTACGCTTTGCTTGCGATTTCCCCTGATTTTGGTTTTTTGAGCGTTGTATTTTAGACGCATTTCTTCTCGCATTATTACCAGTTTGAGATCTTCTTTGACGTTTCGATGCAGGATCTTTATTAGTAGGTCTATTAGAAGTAGAAGGAGCTCTTCGACGTTTATTATTCGAAACCGTAGCTTTTTGCTTGGCTGAAAATTTGTTAATAAACATTAAAGAGTCTTTATGTGGAAACTTAAGGTTCTTAACATTTTTTAAATCACCATTCAGCATCTCACGGTTCGCCACAGAGGAATTAATTGACGCATTTGGAATGGGAATTTCATTTTTGCCCTCTGCATTTCCTCGATTTCTTTCGTCTTTGGGAAAATGTTGACTATTTGAGTTCGTAATATCTACTCTGTCAAAAGCACCGCTCATTAAGGTATTACCTAATAAAATGAAAAGAAATTGTACTTAATTATTGCTGGGTATAATTATGTTGCCTTTATTTTCTCAAATTAATTTTGGAATTAATTTTTTTTATTCATGAATTATACATTGTAAGAAGAAGGAAAGGTTTATCATATGAAAAGCTATATTTTATTGAGAGAACTCTTGTAGATGGGCTTAAATGGAAAAGAAAGGGGATTTCGATTAGTTTTGAAAGGAAGTAGAACTAAAAACTTGCCTCTTTCAGTTTTTAATTTAATCACAAATAAAAAAAAAAAAAATGCACTAACTATTCAGGTAAAGAAAATTCTTATAACCTAGTTATGTGAAAACGGAAGTGTTTTTTGTTCACTAGCTAGGAACATTTGAATGTGGGGGAAAAGTTAACTGTTTTCTTCTGTGCTTCAGAAGTTAAGAAATCAAATTAAAAATAAATAAATAAAAGGTTATAGCTAATCTTTTGTTTGGTGGAAATAAGTTTTGACTGTTTTAACTATTTGAATCAACCCGTAATTTCTGATATAAAATTTCAGCATGTTTTTGAGGAGGTTACTTTGTTTTTAAATTCCTACTATTAAGCTCACACTCTCTTTATATCTTGTTGAAATTTTCAATCGTTAGTAAAATTCTTTTTATTCATCCACTCAAGTTCAAACACATTTTTTTAAACTTGTAGTGGATAACACTTGATGTTAATACAATTTTTTCATATATTAAATTTTTTAAAATTTTTAATCAATTTTTTTTTGTATTTTTAAAATTTTCCTTTGTTGATCTAAGTAGGAATTGATTATATATATATATATACTCCTGTTTATTTTAAGGAGCATAAACTCATGGAAATAAAATAGAAACATATCAAGTTACATATTACATCAAGCCTTAACTTTAAATAATGCAATAAAATTAAATATATGCTTTATGTATTAATTAATAATCAAAATTGTTCAAAATTTTCCGTTCAGATAAAGAAATATATTTTTCTAACTCCATCAAGGAACCTTTGAAATTCCTCCAAATCTGGATCGCCTGGATAAATACAAATATCGGGCGGCACAATGGAAATTAGGACACTATTTTTGAAACTTTCCATAACTATCAAAAGATTTCGAAGTTATTCCTATGTTTATAGTTATGAGACAGAAAACAAGTGAGAAGTTAAGTAAGCAAGTCAAATTGCTTATACTAGGCAAATTCAAATAAGGCACTTGACGAAGCTAGCTCAGGAATATTTTTGTAAATCAGTGGATGAATATACACGTAGTCTGCTCTGAAACGACGGTTCATCCCTTCTATGCAAGAAACTCTATTCTTACAGAAAAAAATCCATACTAGACCTTTGAAACTCTAATCTTACAGAAAAATCCATACTGGACCTTTGAAACTCTAATCTTACAGACAAAATCCATACTTGACCTTTGAAATTCTAATCTTACAAACAAAATCCATACTGGACTTTTGAAACTCTAATCTTACAGACAAAATCCATACTGGATCTTTGAAACTCTAATCTTACAGACAAAATCCATACTGGACCTTCGAAACTCTAATATTACAGACAAAATCTATACTGGACCTTTGGCTACGAGAACGGAATTATGTGACCTTCTTTAAAGGGTAAGAAGTCGATATTGATGATCTTGGCAATCATACTTAAGCAATGAAATATTTTTGAGTACAAATTAAATTAAAAAAATTTTTGTTGTATCCTGATTTCAATTTGATAGTCTAATATATAAAATCCAAATTCCTGGCCTTTAGAGCGATTGTAAAACAATCGTGCTCTTATGCAAACTTTCTTCACTTATTACACTCTCTGTAAGATGTTGCCTTTCAGACATAACTGCTTCTTATTGCTAAAATTATCATGAAATAGTATATTCTAATAACAAGTTCACAAAAATTAATTCTTAGAGCAAATCTTAGAAATTAGATAAAGCGAAGTTAGTGAGAATTGTATTTGGAATAAGCACTATGATGTGAACGGATGAATGGCGGTGATGTGGTCTCAAAGACTGAGTCACGTTATTTACGAGTTCAGTCCTGCAATCGATTTGTATTTTAGTTCAAAATGCCATTAAATTCTAAATGCCGCTTTTTTATCTCACATTTTAGTGTCATTGTGACATAAGTAGGAAATTATACACGTTAATTTAAATTTATGTAAAATTTGTGGCAAAATATATTTTGGGTTTTATATATTTTTATGGTACTTTTTTTGTGCGTTCCTTTTATTTGTTTATTTGTTCGTTTGGTGTTCTGTGTTCCGCTTATTTACCTATTTGTTTGGTGCATTGGACATGATAATTTTATTGTATTTCTATTTGATTAAATCAGAGGCCTTTTATTCTTTAGTCATTTATTTCTTATGTCATGTTGGCAATTTCGTATTTCTGAATCGATCAAGGTTGAATTGCAAAAATAAATGAATAGCAGTTGAGCCAGAAGCAAAAATTCTCTGATAGATTTTGGCAAAAATTTTTATCTCAAAATTGATGATATTTGACGACTTTTCGTCAACTTGGATCCGTTTTAGGAGTTTTCAGAACATTTTCGAAGCTCTAGGAGAAATGTTTCCAGAAGCTTTAAAATGATCTTGAGCAACCCGACATATACTGATGTTCTGAAGCCGATAGCTCAGCTACCTGAGTATCTCAGTTCAAAGTCATGCGATTGTTAGCTTCTTTCTTACTAATTTCAATTTCTGGAAAAGCGATTTTTGGTTTTAACGATATTCTTTGCGTATTGAAGAGAATTTTCGTTATATCTGTTGTTTTCCTTGAGTTATTAATAGGTACGAGTTGTAACTTATTTCGCTTAAACAAATGACGAATATCGTATACCCGCAATATCACAGACTCACAATTAAGCAAGAAGCTCACTGTTGCGTGATTTAAATATGATCAATTCATTTAGCTAAACTATAGACTCCAACATAACCATATATATAGGACGCCTTCTAACTGAGAAAAATGCTAACGAAAATATTCTTAAACAAAGGACTAATTAATTATCTATTTTCAATTTCTAAACATATTTTATTGAATGTTCTGATAAACAAAATTTGTTTAAATATAGTCTTTCTTTCCTATATCACAAACTATAACAGAATTACGAGTTTTAAAAGCATTAGTAGTAAGTTTTGTACTGTTGCTGCAAAATATTATGTAAAAATTCTTTGCCTAAAACACTATAACTGTTTTAACTTTCTAAAGCTTACTATAAGAGAGCGTAAGAAAATAGCTTCTGATTTTTTCATATGCATTGTTCCTACCCATGACGTTTCTCAATATCGCCATTCAGCTTAATAAATAAGTGTGCTGTGAATATCAAGTATCAATTATTCGCCATTTGCATAAACATGTGAATGCGTGTGTAAGAAACAAATTTCTTAATGGAAATGCCTGAAGCTCAAGATCGTTTTTAAAAAAACTATCACGTAACTGTTTGTTAAGCTATTTAGTATTAATAATGCCCGTGGCCTAATTCCTCGACGATGATTAAGCAAGAATTAGGAATAATTGCATGCTTGCTCGTTGTCAGAAAGCTTTTCTGGTAATTTCACTGCATATATCGAAAAGAAATTTCATAGATAGAAAAATACCTCAGTCGCTTTCGAGGCATCATTATTTATTGATTAGTTATTCATTCGAGTGAAGTACCTTGATTTACAACAAACCAAATATTTCGGGAGTTTGCAAAAAATATGTGTGTTACTTTTAATGAGATTTTAAAATAAAAAAATTTTAAAATCAAATATTCATATTTTCATATGGGACTGATATTGTTTAACTGTGATGATTTGGCTATAGTTGTAGTACCCAAGGAAAGGCTGCTTGTTATCAGAGCTAGAACTATGAAGATGATATGCTGTGATGAATTTCAAAAAGCGATGATATCTGTTGCTTACAGAAACAGAAAGAAATTTTAATCATACTCTATTTACTGCGCGATGAATTGATTGGACGTGTGAGTAAAGACTATTAAATAGCACTTTTTCCCTACAAAATATGAGTAGTTAAACTAGGTATTATTTTTAAAGAAAACGATCTAATATTTGCTGAAATTCAAACAATTATTATTGAGGTAGGAATGAGTATTTAAGCTGAAGTCTGAGTCACATCAGAAGGAGAGCGTGTTCAGCCTTTCGGCCTTGCTGTTGCTGCCAGTCTAAGCCGTACTGTTATGTGCTAGCTAATCAGTGGCCTATATAATCTTCGCAATCGTTATCTCACTATCAAACTCAGTAAAATGCATTGGTATTTAAAAAATAACTAAATAAAGACTCAACTTTTTTTTAAAAAAATGTTACGTTCATATTTCCCCTAATCTTTTGAGTTAAACCGTGAACGTAATATAACAACAGTAGGTATTTATATATTACCCCGGGTCGACCGTTAGCGCCAATTTCGGCATTGGCCGCCTGTCGCCAATCATTACTGCAAAATTCTGAGAGACACGGTCATCCATAATTTTAAATCGCGCTACTTGGCCGCTCAACGGGATTATGCGAAAGTACCCAACAATTATGTAAATTATATTGTAATATTAAATTAAATATAAAATCCAGAATACAGTTTTTAGCATACCTTTACCGAGCAGAGGAACCTTCAAAAATGAGTCATAGTTACCTCTAAAAGTTTGAACACTCATGAATTAAAATAAGTGACTGCATGAGTTTGATAGAGAATTTAATTTTTTCCCACTGTATGATATTTGGTAGATAATCATATATTTTTAAATTTGTATTAATTAAGAGATTTAATAAGTTGTGAGAAAACTTGGCTAATCTACAGTAAAGAGTAGGAGATTGGTAACTTTTGCCGAAATATTTATTTAACGATAATTTAAAACTTGATTTAAATTATAATAGCTTTTTAACAACGAAATAGGAAATTTGTCACCAATAACGTCAAAATGCTGTCAGCAGTTGCCACAGCAACCTCTTATCCTACTGAAGAATAACCAAAATGTATTCAAATCTCACCTTCAGCTTGCTGTACAGAACTAATATGTCTCTCATCCATTCCGCTAGAAGCAGATCTTTCACTGTCAAAGCTATCAGGAGCAAGATTCATGGCAATTTTTCATTAATTCTAAGTACAGCTGATTAAACGCCACAATTATGAACTCTGCATTAAAAAAAACTGATTTGAATTCTCAAAAAAAATTTTTCTGTTTAAATTTAATATAACGTGCAGCATGAAAAAAGACAAAACGCGCTAAGAATCAACAAAAAACAGTTGCCATCCTAACGCGGTTTTTACAAAATTATTTTTATTCTCGCTCTTCTCAAGCGCACGAACATTATATTTACATCTAAGTCTATCTTCAAACATTGCAGACACCTTAAAGTCCTAAAACTGCAGTTTCTTTAGTGGAACTTTCAAAATTACAATGATCTTTTGTGAAGTCCATTAATCTTTTTATTGTGTGTGGCGGTGAGTTTGCACGCGGAAAAATAAAATCTGAAAGGATTCAGATTTTAAATTTTTAAATTACGTCGAAAGGAGAGTTTTTTAACGTTTTGTGTGTTACCTTTATTTATTAAATATCATGTTCTTCGCAATTAAACCATATAAAACTCAATTAAACAGCAATATCCCAAAATAATTTTAAAATGAGCATATTTTTAGAATTTCCGAGTTTTTTCTATACAACGTTGCCATTGCTCGCTTTGAAATTCTTGAGTTTGTTAATGAAAAATTCGTTTTAAAATTTAAATAATAAAAATCTTTAAAAATTTAGTATTTATTATTAAACAAATTTATTATTTTAAACAAATTTATTATCTTTATTATTTTAAGTTTTGCAAAGTATGAAATCGATAGTAAAACAAATTCCAAATTCCAAATTAGGACTACCAGATGCCCATATTCGGTGAACGATTACGTTATTCATAATCCGATGAATCTTGTTTTTTTCACAATGTGAGAAACATACATGCATTTATGAAGATTCTTTATTTAATTTCTTTAAATATAATACGGGGCGATAATATTTGGTGGCAACAATTTGAAAAGTTTAACAACGCAGAAAATGAATCAACGCAAAATGCAAAACGAAATTAATAGTCCTTCTGGGCAAATTGTCCCTTTGAACTAAAAAAAAAAAAAAAAAAATCTGGAAATTTTCACATTTCAAGGGTCGCCCAAGAGGGTTTGTTAAGGTTTTCTACGATCTTGTTGAGCTCGGAGCTTACCAGTCTGCTGCTGCACTTTCTTCTGCTAAACCATTCTTTTCTTTGTCTTTTTAGCTTTATTATTAATTTTGTTTTTCTCACTTCTATACAATTCAACAGTAAAATTTTAAAAAATTTTAAAAGCACTGTGGTAACATATGTTCAGAATTGCTGATGCAGTGTTAAGTTGTTGGCATATATATTTTCTATTTTTTCAGTCTTTTCTCAGTTCATGACATCAATGTTCGATTTTCTTAATATCATGCTAATGATGGCATGCAAAGATATTAATAACATGTCATACATAAAATTTTTTGCCTATTACTAGCCCATAAAGGGAGTCTCGAATGGGATATTAGTCTCGAAACAGTATTTTGCGTCAAAACACTTACATGTGTTGTATCACTTTTCAGATTGTTGCCAAAACATATTATCGCCCTGTAGTATCCTTAAATAAATTTAAAATAATGAAGAATCTGCATTAATGTATGTAGGTTTCCCGCATTGTGGAAAAACAAGGGTACCTAGAGCCAAAAAATTATGAAAACGTATAGTCCTTCACTCAAAAATAGGCACATGAAAGCCTGAATTCTGAATTTGCGTCATTAATCTAGAGTAGACTCCCGATTATCCGCGGGCGGGTTATCCGCGGAGCGAATTTTTTGCACCTGCCGCACACAGTTTTTTTTTACAAGCGTAGCAAAGAAAATAAAAATGTTCACAAAACTGAGCGAAACTTTAACTTTGCTAACATCGTGCTTATTTATAGCAAAAATATCCCAGGCCTTCTCGGAACCTTCCGCTCTGATGAGTAAGTGATTTCTTACTCACCCTTGCAGTGCCAGCTCCATCGCCCTCTCTCGTCTTAATCTTACTTACACTTTCACTTCCTCCCACTGTTAGTTTAAGCTTGATAGTGTTTGCGAACCGGTCGAAGTTAATTTCTTATCTTTTTTGTGTTCAGTGCTTGTGCTTTTTGGCTTTGTGTTTTTCGTTATCCATTTAAAATGTGAGGAAAATGAAAGAAGGTTGTGTTGACGATTGCGCAAAAACTAGAATTATTTTCCAAAGTAGCAAACGGCCCTACAAGGCAGCAGATGGAATTGGATTACGGAATCGCGGGAAACACAGTGCGTGACATTCTAAAGCAAAAAGACAAACTGGTGAACTTTGCATCAATGTTGGACAGTGCTTCCGCATTGAAAACGCGAAAAACCTATGAGGGTTCTACCTTTAATGAACCAAACACGGCATTGACAGAGTGGTTAGCTCAACTTCGAAAAGAGGGTACTCCTGTAAATGGTTCTATTATTGCGGCGAAGGGAAAAAAACCTTTTTTGAGTTGTTAGGCCTGAAAGGAAATTTTGCTGCGTCTTCTGGCTGGTTGACTCGTTTTAAGCAGGGACATGGAATTCGAGAAATTGGACATCATGGGGAGAAACTTAGTGGTGACCAACTATCAGGATCAATGTTCCTTCTTACCTTCTTCGGGAACATGCCAGGACCTGACTCAGAACAGAGCTTACTAAGCTATGTTCAAAACTGTGGGAATAGACAGGATACACAAAAAGGTATACAACCTTTATTTTCTCTATTTACAAAACTTCCGTACTCTTCGGAATACA